GGAAGGTCACAGCCCCGCGCAGGTGACCACTGCGAACATTTCTGCATCCTCCTGCCCCACTGCCCATGTAGCAGCACCCCCCAGTCCCTCCCAGAGCCAGGCAGGGGCACCCCAGCATGGCCTCCTCCACCCAGGGGCCTGGCTGCCAGGCACAGCCCTGGCTGAGCCGCTCAGCTCAGCTCATGGCTCAGGCAGGGAAGAAAACGGGCCAGGGCAGGATCTGGGCTCTTCACCAGGACAGGGGGAGGTCTCCGGCCTCCAGCATCCTTTAAATCTCACACCAGTCCCAGTACCTATGGGGAGGGAGACCCTGGCCCCAGAGCCCGCGGAGGGTGTGGGACACGGGACAGCAGGAAGGGGCCTCACTCAGTACCTGGGGGCCGGATCCCTGCTGCGGCCCTCAGCGCGTTGTAGTTTGCCACCCAGTTCTCATGGCTCACGTCGCCCTTGTAGCCGACGACCTTCACCCACTCGGGGTTCTCATTCACCACCTCCCCCGTCGTCGTGGTCCACTCCTTGCCCAGTCCCCCCACGTAGAGGTGCTCGTCCTTCACCGCCAGCCACTCCGCCTTGAAGCCTGCGGTGGAGAGAACGGCATGAGCTGGGGCTCGGTCAGCCCCCGCTCCCCGAACGCCACACCAGATGGCCCGGTGCTGGGCACGGCCATCTCCCACGCAGCCAGCTTGTCCCCGGAAAGGAACTGCTCCCATCCCAGCCGGGCTTACGGGGTCACAGAAAAGGTGCACCCCACCCTGGAGAGCTGCAAAGAGCCACGGGCTTCACTGCTCCGCACGTGCAGGGCAGGACGGGGGAGCTCACCTTTCCCCACTGTGCCGTCCCCGTCTGAGAGGATCACCCAGGGCACCACCTTGTTGCCCTCAATCTGGTAGACCACTCCTGTCCGGTCGTCCACGGCATACAGCTTCCCGTTGAAGACGACCAGCTCGGAGAGCTCCATGCCCCTGCCCTTCTCAGCCAGGTGGGACTGCAGCACGCTCTCGTCTTTGTCCCACTCCACCGTCACACTGTCCCCGCTGCCCGACAGCACCAGGTAGCCCTTCTTCAGGTAACTGAACCAGGTGTGCTCCTCAGAGCCCCGGGATTGCGTGTCCAGGTCCGCGATGACGCCGATGCGGTAGCGCACGCCCTCGGGGTTTCTCTGGGGTGGGGACAGTGGGTAGGTGTCATTGTAGCGGTCCCCTGCCCGCAGCCTGAGCTGCCAGTTGCGAGGATGGGGTGGGACGGGCCGTGTCGGGGAGGTCCGGTGCAGGCAGAAGAGCAGCAGCACAAGCCCCACGCAGGCCGACGACAGCACAATGGCCTTCCAGCGCAGTCGGAAGCGGGGGTCAGTGCCTTTGGTCATGGACGCGAGGACAGGCAGACCACCCACGCTGATCCGAAGGGGGCTCATGGACTCATGGCAGGGCGGGACGGGCATCAGACTGGGGGCGAGGAGAACCTGGTGGCAACGAGAGGAGGAAGCAGGTCAGAGAGCTGGAGGCTGGTGCTGCACTGAGCTCGAGGGGTGGCATGAGGGGCCCCATCCCCTCTCCTGCAGCAGGAGAAGGTGCTGCTGCCTTGTGCAAGGAGAAGCCGGCATGCCAAGGGGGCTGCTTTCCTGCTGGAGTCACTCTCAGCCCTTTCTCACCCCTCCTCTGCAATCCCAGACCAGAATAAGCCCCAGCACTTCAGCAAGCATGCACGACCCGCTCAGCACCTCTACCTGTTCTGGGGTCTGCGGCAGCCCAGGTGGGGAGATGAGGTGCCCCTGGCCCACGCAGTCCCAGGAAGAAGGAGGTTCCCCTCCGACGGCGAGGACGACCCTTGCCGCCTCTGGAGCAGACGCCTGGCCTGGCCCAGCTCCCGCAGCCCCCAGGAACCGGCCCCACCGCTGAGCGCCGAGTGCGGCCCCAGGCCCCACGGGGACACCGGGAGACACGTGGCAGCTCCGCCCGAGCAGGATGCCAATGCCTGAGCAGGAAGCGCAGCGCCTGGTTCCAAGGGACACGTACCCCAACCTG